GACCGTCCTCGAGATGGAACCGAGATAAGCCCCGTAGGAGGAGATTCCGCATAGATTCGCGAATGCGGAGTCCCTGCTCGTTCTCGATCCCGGGATTGCTCCTCCAACGACTTTTCCTCGAGCGAGATCTGTTTTCCTTAATTTCCCTCAATGGCCCTTTAACTCGGGTCAAAAACTCCAATTTAATTTTTGGACCGTGATACCCTGTCGTTTTAGCCCGTTAAATTAGGGATGCTCCAAAGGGCAAAAGAGCATTTTAATAGGACAGGAGGAGGGGGTTCGTATTCGAAGTCGTTCCGTAAGCAGTTCTTTTCTTGCGTATGCACCGTGCGACCACTCAACATTGCGATTAAAGAGGTTTAAAGAGGCCGCAAAACATACATTTAGAAAAATGTTTAAGCTGTTGTGATACGTTCGGTTAATATAGGAAGAAAAAAACACAGACTATCCCAAATTTTGTGTTGATTTTGATACAGTTTATGATGAATTTAGCACTGAGAACTATGGAGAAACCAGAATCCCAAGATCAACCGAATACGTACTCAGGTTACTTTGTGTTTCATTTACAATAGTAGTCGAGCTTTTGTCTTATTTATTTTCTCAGTGTAGCCGCATTAAGGAGGGGTCTGTCAGGTTCTTGTTCTCCTTAATGAAAGGAGATCAATTAGTATGAAAAAAAAATGTTGTCAAATATTGAACCGCGTCAATTGTTTCACGCAGATTTCGTAAGGAAAAATGGGAGATGAAAAAAAAAAAAAAAAAAAAAAAAAAATAATAATAATAATAACCAACAGACGGTTGGACAGAATCATACCGAATTTTGACCAGTTCACTTATTGCACTTTGGATTGAAAATAACAGTCTCTCTCTCTTAAATAAATTTGACCGACTTCTTGTAGCAGTCTTTAATTTTCAAGGTGACTTTACTTTTGTTCTCTTAATGTCTGATAGAGTCAGTCCGAGTCAGTTTGATCAGTGTGAATTCCTTGAAAATATAAAGGAGCTCTCCTTCAAGAAATAGAGTGTGAACGGAAATTTTCATCGTATCAAATTGAACTATACGCATTTTTTGAGTTCGGCTTTCCGCATTACAGATTCATCACAGGGACGTGCACCAGACGCGTTGAGCACACACTCCCCAGGGAAGCAAGGCGCTATAGGGGGCCGAGGGCGGCCTAAAATTATAAAACCATAAAATCGATATCACCGGAGTTCGAGGAAGACGGTGGCTGTAAACTTTAAAGTGTTTGCCGGCGCCAAGGATGAAGTTGCCTTGAATTTCGAGCCGATCTCTTGTGCAACACCCGACCGGCAGCCACCCTGCCACCCCCGAGCCGATGCGACGTCCTCAAACCCCGATCAGTCACCCCCCCCCCTCCGCCATGCTCTCATCCCTAATTCGGTGCGAGGCATGCGGTTTGTTGGGTGCCTCTCTCCGGGAGGATATCACTCGAGGCCTATCATGTTCGCATCTGCATATCTGCCACACGGTGGATCGAGTCAATTAGAGAGGTCGGACATGAAGTTTTCTTCTAAAACTGCAAATTTTGATGTTTATTCCGTCACGTTTTAACATTTAAGGGGTGTCTCTGTAAGAGAATTTTACGAGAAACCACTTTTAGAACCTCAAAGTTTCGTATGAACAGAGCTTGAAGCGTTTAAAGTTTCCAAATTTTGTCCGACCTGTCCTATTGACTCGATCCACTGTGCGCCATCCAAATTGCCGAATTTAGATGGAAAATTGAACGTTGATTACTCTCCTTACTACGTGTTTCTCATTCCATACAATTCGCCTTCTATAACCGTGATGGTGAAACGAGCACCTTGGGAGCACGAATTGTGTTCTGCCGTGCTAAGGAGAAACGTTGTATGAACCCTTAGGCAATTCAAGCATTGCCATATTTCATTTGATAAAATATGAAGTCCTTGGGAAAGCTCCCAATATTTTTCTTCTAATTTTTCAGACAATTTTGTTCGCAATTATATCTAAAAGATCTGAAAATTTCAAGGAAAAATTTTTTATATGTATAACTTTCATCCAAAATACATTTTTACCGGGAGAAATTTCGCAACATTCTTATGCTCATACGGCGTTTTTCCTTAGCACGGCAGTATTGCGCGCAGTAGTTTTGTCTCTTTCGCTCAGTTCCCGCAAGGTATACACGTTGACAATTACTCCCTTATTATGTGTTTCTCACTTCATAGAGTTCGCCTTCAATAACCGGTACGGCAATATGAGCGGCTAAGAGCACGAATAGTTTGAAGCGCTTTTGCTCTGCCCCCAACAAACATTGATTATTCTCATAATTGCGAATTTCTCATTCTATTGAGTTCGCCTTAATACCCATAATAGAAAACTGAGCGGTTTGAGAGCACGGTGAATAAACTGGAAAAGTTATTTTTTGTGTTCTTGTGTTACTTTTGGTTGATGTTAGATGTGAAACACAAACCAGCCCATATTATGTGTTGATTTTGGCTCAATTTGCGGTAAATTCAACGCAAAATAGAATGGAGGGACTGGAAAATCTTAGATTCAGCCGGATGCTTGGGTTTTTTTGTGTTTTACTTCCCATATCGACCAAACCTTTGTGTTGAATTTTCTGTCTGTGTAATTGCGCGCAGTAGTTTATTGCCACTTTCGTGCAGTTCGGGTAGCGACTGATTATTCAAAATGGACGTTGATTATTCTCTTTTCTACACCTGTTTCTCATTCCATCAAGCTTGCCTCCCGTAACGATGATGTCAATATGAGCGACTTTGGAGCACGAATAGTTGCGCGCAGTAGTTTTGTCACGTTCGCAGTCCCGGCACGAACACACGTTAATTACTCGACTCATTTTGTGTCTCTCAGTCTTGGTTCGCCTTCAATAACGTGATGACAGTATGTTCAGTTTCGCAGCAGGAATAAATGCGTAAAGTCATGTTTCCACTCTCGCTCAGTTTTGCAAGGAACATCCTCGGATTCCCTGCCTTTTTCGCTCTCACTAGACCTGTAATCACCTCACCATACTTTCAAAAACCGCGAATGAGGCGTTTTTTTGGATTTTTTTTGTTTGCTTTGATGCGCTTCCCGTAGTAATATATTTTGTAGGTTTCGATAGTTAGTTCCATCTATTATCGATTGTCAACTGAATAATGAGCAATATCGGGTCACAGAAGCGATTACTACGTTAGAAGTCGTCATGAAAGTTACTCTAAATTTTTTCTAAATTATGGGATATATACTCCCAAAATTTTGAATAAAACATTTTCACAGTTTTTTGACACATAAATGGAAAGGAATTGGGTGATTTGGGATTTTGGTCAAATGCAGCAATTCCGATCGTGGTAAAATTTTTCTTTACTATACAGCATTAGACACTCTATAGATTATCAATAACATGAATCTTCCGCGAAAACTTCGTGAAGGGCCATACGTAGCTTTTGCGAAAGATTCTTCAACTTTTGGTTTGAAAACTGTACTTTTTTGGTAAGAAAATAAACCCCTTTTCCACTAATGATTTCCCCTGACCCACCTCAGAAATTAAAGGCGGATCAGTATGAATTTAACATGCATTCCCCATCCGTGGCGATTCTTCCTTTTCTACATTTTACGTATTTATGCTATTATTATTACATCCATTTGTACATAGTTTTGATTCTTGTGTGGCACAATCACGACCAATTTTATACGCCAAGGTTATTCATAATCCTCTCTAAATTCAATGTATTTATAATGCGAGAGATCATGCCCAAATAAATTGAATAAAAGGGACTCTATCGGATGTGCGTTCCTCATAGTTCTTTTCAATTTTGATTTGTTTGCACATTAAATAGATCCTTTTAGCACAAAAACGTCCAATCGTAGTCAGAGAACGCTGAGGTTATTCTGATATCCCCCCAAAATGGACGTATTAATGCTAGAAGAAACTATGCACAAACGAATTAATTTAAAAGGAACTACTTTCATCGGAATTGCATGCTTCAAAGCTCCTTCTGATTAAATTCATTTGCACCTTGCACAAGGTTCCTTTCGGCATAAATAAGTCCATTTTTAGCCAGGAAATGCCGAGGTTATAAAAATATCCTCTTTAAATTCGATGTGTTTATGCTAGAAACAAAAATGTATAGATGAATCGAATAAAAATAAACCATGTTCATCAGACTTGCGCGGTGCTTTAAAGTTCCCTCTGATCAAATTCATTTGCATATTGCACAAGGCTCCTTTCACCATAAATACTTCTTTATTTTAGTCAAGAAACGCTGAGGTTATAATAATACCCTCTCTGAATTCGACTTGTTCGTAGTAGAAAAACAGGTGCACAGATGAATTGAATAAAAGCAAACTGTGTGCATCGAATTAGCATGCCTCAAGGTTCCTTCAGATTGAAATTCATTTGTGCGCAGTTCCGTTCAACAAAAATGTGACCATTTTTTTACGAGAAATCGCCACTTTTTTGTGAGGGTCTATTCGAAAATGAGTATCCAGAAACTCATCAAACTTCAAACTTGCGTGCTTTGAAGTTCCTTCTGATTAAATTCATTCACACGTTGGACAAGGCTCCTTTCGATATAAATACGTCCACTTTTAATCAATGAACGCTGAGGTTATAATAATATCCTCTCTGAATTCGACGCGTTTATGCCAAATGAAAAGGTGCGCAGCTGAATTGAATAAAAATGATATATGAACATTGGATTTGCATGTTTCAGAGTTTCCCTCTGATTGAATTCATTCACGCAATACCTACGGTTTATTTTGGCATAAGTGCGTCCATTTTTAGTCAGGAAACGTCGATGTTATATTTACATCCTCTCTGAATTCAACGTTTTTATGCTATAAACGAAAACGCACAAACGAATTGAGTAAAAATGAACGATGAGTATCAGCTTAACGTGCCTCAAAATTCATTTAAATCGAATTCATGTGTGCGCAGTTCCGTTTATCTTACACGACCGATTTTTGACGAGGAACCGCCACTTTTTCGTGAGGGTCGATTTGAAAATATCCAGGAACTCACCAAATCTATGAGCTGGGAGAGTCGGAGCCCGAGCTTGACGAGGACGGTGTTGGTGTTGTTGCTGACGGGTCGGATGAGGCGATTGTAGTTGCTGAGCAGGTCGTCGTAGAGTCTCTTGGCGTCCGGGTTCCCTCGCGCCACCGTCAACGCGTAGACGAGGATGAGGAGGAAAACGAAGAGCCACTCCCGGAAGCACATCGCACCCGCGGATTCTCCCTCGCGCACTTCGACGATCACCTACATTTCGCGAAGGATTCCCGGACGAAATCCCCGATTTTCATCTCGGATTTCCACGTGCCCAAACGGAGGTCTGCTCGGCCCGGGTAGAGCCCCGCTAGTGACGCCAGCGCCCCTGGCGGCGCCCGCCGCAACCGCCCCGCCGCCCCGACATGGATCCGGACGCGTGGACCTGCGCCCTTCCCGCGACTCACCCCTCGCTGCTACAGCCCCCGGTCCATTCGAGGTCGATACGCGCACGATAGATCGTGTGATCACGCCCGTGGAAAAGCTCGGAGTTCGATGTATCGATGTCAGCTCCACTCTCCGGCCCGGATAATTTATTTCGTCCCTCGCCTCCCCCTTCGATCCGCGTGCCCTGCGCTCTTCTGAAACGCCGCGCGAACATCTGGGCGTTGCCGGATTTCTAGTGGCGAGTTGGCAACGCCAAGCTTTGATCTTGTAAATGCAAGTTAAAGAATCGAATGGAGATGTTGCATGCGTAAGGAATTTGCGATTTGACTGTTGATTCTTATGTAAAAGTTCGCGAGAAACACGATGATGCCACTGTTTTTCTCTGAAATCAACTCCCAAGCTCAATAAAAGCTCTCAACTTGAGGCCGAAATTGAGGGGATATCCCGCGCTATCCTGAGAGTCCACCTCTACATCAAGACAAACTCTCCGTGCAAAGATACGGAGCAATTACATTGACAGGGCTGCCACTTTATTTGGGGACTCTAAAACTGAAAACACGGCAACCCTGCTAATGTATTTGCTCCCTATCTTTGCATGGAGAGTTTGTCTAGATGCAGAGGTGGACTCTCAGGATAGCGCGGGATATCCCCTCCATTTTGGTCTCAACTTGAGAGCTTTAATTGAGCTTGGGAGTTGATTTCAGAGAAAACCAGTGGCATCATCGTGTTTCTCGCGAACTTTTACATAAGAATCAACAGTCAAATCGCAAATTCCTCACACATGCAACATCTCCATTATATCAGGGCAGGCTGTCTCACCTGTTACCGCGATCATTTGAATGGATTAAGTGGTCACATAGAAGTGAGACTGATAAAATTTAGAAGGAAATTTGGGCCAAGAACATCTTGGAAAAGTCGTAGAAAAAAGGCTAAAATAAACCGAAAAGCAGAGAAAATTGCATTTACGGTAGTGGCAAATTTTACGAGTTGTGGCACGCAGCTTTAGCTCGTTTCATGGCTGGATTGTAGGATGACCATTTATCATCCCGTACTCTCTCGATAGTCAAAGAATTTTTCCCGGAATGTCGGTTTCCTGCGATGTGATTGTTGTAGCAGCGTTGGCTGCATGATCAGAAGGTCCAGGGATCGAGCCCGGCCAGGCCATAAGTGTCATGGTCAAGCTATAGACTGTGGAGTGTGGACGCGACGCTGAGAGTTTCAGTGTGAGACCGATTATTGATATTTTTAATTTTTTATTTATGGGACTGTTAAATTATGTGGTCTAGTCTAAAATAAATGTTGTCAATGAAAATTTTGAAGACCCGCACAAGACAAATGATCAGTATTTTTGTTTTAAAAAAAATAAAAAAAAACTCACTTGCACGTAAAATAGTTTTATTTTTTAAATTTTATATTTATTATATACGTTTTATAAAGTTACAACGTCATCGTGAAGAGTATCATAACTTACGGGAGTGAGGTCTGGCTATTGAAGAAAAGGACTGAAGACATGCTTAGGGCAACTGAGATGGACTTTTGGCGGAGGTCTGCTGGCATCTCAAGAAGAGAGCGTATCCGCAATGTAAAAGTACGCGAGATATGGGTGTGGAGAAGGACATCGTGCACGATATCAGGTCCAAGCAGTTGGTCTGGTATGGACATGTGCGAAGGATGGCAGAGGATCGGTTGCCCAAGCTGGTCTTCGATTGGGTTCCTCCCGAAAGGCGACGGCGTGGACGTCCTGTGAAAGGTTGGCGACAAGGGGTGGAGGAGGAGATTAGAAGGTGCCAATTGCCTGATGATCTCTGGGAGGATAGGAGGCAATGGCGATTGGGCGTCGCAGAGCGCGAGGCTGCGCTATAAAAGCGGCCTTATGTATGTGTATTTATTATATTAATTTTTTAACTTTCTTCAGTAAAGTTTATACAAGGAAGTTTGGCAGCGTCGACCGTGGTTAGGCTACTTCTGGTGGAAGCCGTCTGAATTGTGTATAAAATGCTCGAAATCGTTCAAAAAAGCAGACGACAGGCTTAAAAAAAGTCTGTATTTTGTCGAGGGAAACTTGGCTATGTCGGGGTTTTTGTACAGCGTTTTTCCCCAGCGCAGCAATGCTCCTCCCGTTTGCTTCAGCGGCTCCGAAAACAATTTCAGGCTTGCCAACCTCCCGATGTTATTTTGTTCCGCGACCGCCCCGCACTCCTCCGACCACTCCGCCGAATCCTTTTCAATTCCTTTTTTCTCCCCGTGTCCGTTACTTCCATTCAATTACTTATTACTCGGCTTTATTACGTACGACTCGGGTGAAAAACTAAAGACGCCCCCGCCCTCTCGCGGAGGACCGGCGCAATTACTGTCCGCGCAAAACGCGCTGTCTTCCGGTGGGCATTGCCAACTTAAATACACCCCTCCGGGCCGTCTGAGAGCAATCGGACCGCGTCTAACAGAAAGGACATCAGCTATTGCCAATTTTAACCGGGCAATTTAATTTTTTACGAGAAAACGTTTGTGCGGATCCCTCTGAAAATTTCAAGGAATTTGCTTCGCACTATGGAGAAAATTCACCGAAATCCGCACGAAAATCCGCACAACTGTTTTCGTGTAAAAAATTAAATTAGCCGACTAAATTTGGCAATAGCTGACGTGGCTTGGTTCCTTTCTGTTTGGCGCGGTCCGATTTTCGGTTTTCGGCGTTTAGGTTGGCAACGGGTGGACCGTGCGCGCGATGCTTGTGATATATGGCCGTCTCCGCTGTTGGGTGTTTTGGGCAGGGCTGCCACAATCGGCGGAATTGGCGGGACGGTGCGATTGTATTTCGGGGGCGTGGCGAGTGGGGCGGCAACCCCGGTTCGGGGTAATGGGGGTCTTTCTGCGAAGAAAATGAAATTGAATCGGTTCGCGGGACTCATAATGACCAGTTTTTAATGAATCCCGGGGACCGTGGCCGCTATAATTCATAGTTTTCCCGCCATTACTCTGCACCATGCTGCGGGGGCATTCCGAATTGCGGCAGTTGTCCCCGCGGGCGCTCGTCGGTCCTCTCAGCGTTCGCCCTTTCAAGTGCGAATTTTTTAATTCCATTCTGCAGTCCTCGTAACGTTTTTCTCGTGAATTACCAATGCGTGAAGAGACAATTTTGTTTGTTCTCCTTTCTGAGAAGAAGAAGGGGAAGAAGAACGAGGAGGGAGATAAATAATTTATGAAATTTATTAAAGCGGACATTAGTCCATAAAACTCAAACATTTATTTTAGCATAACGCAAGATAGATTAACACAGGTATGGACAAGTCGAAAATCCGGCTTGTGATTGGCTCTCTAGTGGCCCCTTAACGACCGCCATTTTCATGCTTTCATTATTGTGATTGGTTGGTGATTTATTGGTTATGTTTCTCCAATTTGGTAATAATTCGTAATTTAAGTTTTGGAGATAATTTAATTGATCCCTAGGATCTTATTACCTTCCATTGTTAATGCGTGATTAGTATTTTGATGTTTAAATGGAGCGATTATTCAATAAAGTTGAGAATAGCGCGGTCAAACTGGCCCCTTAACTACGTCACGAAGTCATGTGACACGTACTGAGGCTCATGGGAAATTTCCAACTTGTCCATACCTGTGTTAATCTACCTTGAGCATAACGGGGCATACCGAATAACTGAGCAAAGATAGGTGATAAACCAACAGTTTGGGACAAGAACGCCCCAAAATTTAAAATAAAACCGCAATTGTGGCGGTTTTAAGCTTTATCGCAGAAAAAAACTCGGTTTTTACTTTCTTCGGGAAATGTATCTTCATCTCATTAGTTGAAAAATACTTTATAAAATTATTATAGATCTTACAAGACTTTCTTAAATGTTTAGCTTGCAGAAAACTGTTTCATAGCAATTTTGGACCGTGTAACACGCTAAAAAACGTCATAGCAGTCGATCCTCATAGAATGTCTCTCATTCTGTCGAATTCCCCTTCAATAATCGTGATGGAATAATGTAAGTGGCTTATGAGCAAAAAAGTTGTGCGCAATAGTTTATCACTTCCGCACAGACTCGGCAAGGAGCGTAGCATATGTCTCCGTACTGCGTGTCTTCCATCCAGTAAAGTTCGCCTTCAATGAGCGTGACGGCAATCTGCAAGGCTTGGGAGCACGAATAGTTGCGTACAGTAGTTTTGTCACTTTTGCCCAGCACCGTCAAGAAACACTGGAGTTATGACATAGGTTCAAGTTTTTCGTTCGAAAAACGCAGTTTTGAGAAAAATTATTTACAGTTCTGTTATGTTCAGGTTTTAAGTTAAGGAATTACTATGTAAATATATTCCCTCTGTTGGCACGAACATTAACTAAATCAATCATAACTTATTCTTTATAACAACAGTGAGTGTTCAAATCGAAAATTTAAATTTTTCGAACAATCGCGGCAAAGTTGGAAAGTTGAAGTAAGCCCAGGGAATTCATGATGAAATCAGTATCGAAAATCAAGAGTTTCTTTCCGCACTAAAACCTTTTTATTAAAAAACAAAAACAAAAAACGAAACAAAAATTACCGGTCCACACTGACGTTGAAGAAGATGACGCATAAAGCTCACGGATGAGAAACCTAATTAAGTTACTTTAAACTGGGAAAAGCAATAGGAACTCTCTCCAGAGTATCGAGGGGAAAGGGGAGGGAATCTAGTTTTCATAATTTCTTCGTGAAAAGACGGATGATAATAATAAAGGATCAATGACTCAATGAATGTCTCGAAAGGTCACGGAACGTCAATGACAGTAAACCTCAAAACCCACCCAAGATATACTCCAGAGATCTATTAACGGCGAAGCGTGGGCAGTGAGAATAAATAAACCCACTTTCGTACAAGCAATTTAACTTGCTCCGATATTCGAGGAAGTAAGTTTTCAACAAGAGCGGAATGCCAGAAGCCAAGCCAGAGCGG